TCGGATCAGTCTCCAGCCGCGGTGCTGGGTGTCACCGGGATGACTGGCGAGACGTATTTATGAACCCAGATTACCACGAAATTGGACCTAATGCCTTACTATTAATTTCAGTCCTCATTGGGATCATGGGGGTTGCCAGAGAGCGCTTCGGCTTTTAATGAAACCTCAATGAAAAAAAAAATCCATCATTCATACAATTATCGGGCTGAATTTATAAAGGGTGGCAGCCCATTCCCTTCGGCGGAGCAGTGAGGAAGCCGCGGTTGGATCCGGAGCCGAGATCACGAGGAAAACCGTGTTGGATACGGTCCGGTCCGTGAGAGCTGAAGGCCGAACCTGGGTCTTCCTTGAGGCCCCGGCTGTTCCCGACCCCGCGGGACACCGTCCGCCGCCGGATTCCCTTTTTTCCAGTGTTTCCATGTGCAGGATGTGCAGAGCCCGTCAACATCCTCATGGTGAAGCCGCAGATTTCTCCTACTTTATGGAAAACCGGGCATAGCTCTGCAGAAGTGCAGAAATTGCCTCTATCTAAAACCAGCTACTTCAGTAAATAAACACCCAATCCCTCCACACTTTAAGCTATTCTGGTCCACTGCATAGCAGTTCCCAATTTGCTAAAATCTCCTAAAATCCCGTACCCCAAATGCAACCACCCACGGCGATGTCCCTGCAGACGACACCGAGCCTTCGTTTTCGGAACAAAATCAACATTCCAGCGGCCGTGCTGCTGCAGCAGAAAGTTTCACCTTTTAATTTTTCATACGAGATTAATTTTTAATTTTCAGGCATCAGCGATGCGGGGAGGCTCCCCCGGAGCCCTCCTCTTCAAAGAGCTCTAGGCTCTATTGCCATCAAGTGTCAGTTTATGGCACCGACGGCCCCGGCCGCTGGACACCCGTTTTTAGGGATATTTGTATTCCAAGTCCCATTTCTGCGGAGTTTTGGTGTCTGCTCAAGCCCAGGCCCGGCCTGGAGCCCCGGGGAGCCCCGTTTTGCTTTCCCAGAAGCCAAGCTCAGAACGTCCGTGCAACCAGATCCTGCCCAACAGATGCTGCTTTCGGGACTTAACCTACCACCAATGATGCCGAAAAGCGTTCGTTGGAGGCTGCGGTGTTGGTGGAGCAGATGTTCCCTAATTTGTGTTCCTTCCAGTCGTGTTCGAACACTGCAGGAACCCGGGAGGGGGTTTCAGTGCAAAGCGAGACCATCTGGATGAGGAGGTCCCAGCTGGGTCTCCGTTCCACCAACTGGGTCCTGTCGGTTTTGCCGGGCTCCGAGCGGCAATTCCCAGCCCAGGGGCTCCAAGGGCTCCCGTTTCCACATGCTCACGGTCCCAATCCGCATCCGGAAACGTCCCAGGCTCCGGAGCAGCATCCTCTGCCCCCAGGGCACAGACGGGACGGCGACGTTTGCTCCCGCATGGAAGGACAGCGGGACATGGAAGGAGGCAGCTCCGCAATCCCGGGGCTGTCCTGCTTCCCTACCCAACGTGGAATGACGGCCGAGACAGGCCGAGAGCCAAGGACTGGACCCGGCCGGGAATTCGCCTTTCCCAACAGAAATTCACACGGATCCTGCTGCTTCCAAGAGCGCTGTTTTGGACCCGGTTCAGTTGGGATGTGCTGCACTCTGAGCGCGATATCGCGGGATCACATCCCAGCGCCGCTCCGGGTGTTCCTTACCCGGGACCGTCCCCGGCGCGTTCCCAGGAACGTCCCGGCGCGGGATGCTCCGGGCTGCAGCTCCCGCATTCCCGCACGGATACAGAAAGGCCCCGGATACAGAGGGGCTCAACGTGATCCCAGGGGACACCGGATCCCATTCCCGACTGCGGGAAAACAGGTCCCTGCCCCGCAGCGCGGCCATCCCGCTCCGCAGGCACCGGATCCGCATGGAGCTCCTGCATCACGAGGGGGACGGCGACATTCCCGACCGCTTCCGACAGCGCCCGGGAACGGGGCCGCCTATTAAATTATCAAGAAATGATGCTGCAGAAATGAAAAAAAATATTGATCGTTTTGCATCAAAATGCAATTATGCCAAATCAAAGCCAATTAACGTCCCCGAATGCAGATATACAGCAGGAAGGAAGCACGCGCTCCCGCACAGTGTATCTACGCGCAAATTAAACCGTCTTTACATTTCATGAGGCAAAGAGCAAAAAAAAAAAAAGGAAAAAGAGAAAAGCGCATCTGATTTTTGAGATTCTGCTGGCTTTCCTGGGTGACCTTTGGTATTTGTATGTATCGATGCTCTCCCTGAACGGCTGCACAAAAACACCTTGAAGTGTCAAGCTTTAAAAATGAGTCTTGCTCTCCCCCTCTGCCAAGCAGCCTGGATTATCTCGGCCTTGTCAAAACACATTCTCTAGTTAGAGGCTGGAAATATTTCCCTGCTGGCTCCCGGGTATTGATTTCCCGGCCGGGCTCCGGCTGCCAGCGCAGGGGCAGGGGA